GTCTTCATCTAGCTAATATCTTACCATTATGTGGTGGGGTATTTCTGCCTTACCCTGTATATAAATGTCATAATAACAATGATGCTTTTCTTTCAGTTGTGAAAAGCTTTCTTATTTCTAGTTTATTGAACATTGCTACTCATATAATGTTGAACAGTATATCAGCTTTGCATATGCAGCCTTTCATCAGGTGCATGTACAGAGACTTCTTCCCATGATGCATTGTCCAATGAGATTCCTTACCTGTTATTTTGATCTCATTTTTAAGGTTATAGGTTTTCTTCTTTCTGTTTGTTTGAACAAGTCCAGCCTCATTTCAGATTATGAGTCTTTGTGGTTCTTCAATAAGCTTCTATCTAAACCAATCGTTCTCAACCAGGAAAGAATTTTTAACTTTAGATGTCAATTTTATAGTTACAGAGTGGAATTAGAACTACAGATTGAAATTATGAAAATATTGTTATTTTTACAAACAACTCTAAAATGCACTTTTTGTGTCAGATATGACAGGTGTATGCACAAGAAAAGGTTGACAACCACTGGTTTAAACTCTATTTAAATTACAGGAAATTTGATTTTTAATGCAGTTATGTTGAAAAATGCCATGCTAATCAAATTTTTAATAATTAAAACATGTTTAGAAAATTCATTGTTCATTAATTTTATTCCTTGTAAGCTATAGTAGTATATCTTCAATAAAACTAGATTAAATCCAGTTTTACTTATGCATAACTTAAAATTACTAAAAAGCATTTTAAACGAAGACTTCATAGTTTTTATTGATTAAGCAGAGAAAAATTGTCCTTACCTTTGAGTTTAAAACAGTTGGACTAGGACTCTTTTCTGGGACATTCTTTTTCCAAACACATCTTTTATTAAATATTCAGTAAATTTCTCCCCTACTCTTTAATTTAGGCTGCAAACCATCAAAGACAAAGTGTTTGATTACTGAAAATAATTTTTTTCTTAATCTAGCCACACCATTTATTCCAATCACCCTGTTTAATTGAACCTCAACTTTCATTCCTTTCCGAAGGTTAGTAATAATGATCTTTACCAACTTGGCTTAGAAATAGAATTGAAAACCTCTTTACTGTCAGTTTGCAATACTAACTACTGAGCCAAACCTTCAGGAATGGGTATTGGACATCATTGTTGTTCCATGTGTCTTCAAGGTGATGAAAATATGCTTGGCATTTATGTAATCCAGATGTTGAACTATTTATAGCATGTGATTTCAGCTGGTAGACTGACTGTTTTAAAGTAAATATCATTCAGTACTTCTACATCTGACTTGTTAAATGCTTTTCTCCCATTCATTTCTGATGGTACTTATTACAAGAAAAGAATCAAAATTGCTGTTTTGAGTAGATTCCTCCATAGCAAAAAGCTATCAGGACATTTGAATTTCTCTTTAAAGAATTACTGTCTCAGTTGTGTGTTTTGTCATTCTGTTAGAGAAAGCTGATGTCTTACCCACTTGATTTTTGTTCACAAGCACAACAGATTAATCTCTAAAAGTAAAACAAGTTTTTGCATTAAATAGAAATAAATTTTTATGAGCTTGTTATATTTTCTCAGCTCATTTCAGGCATTGAATCTTACCAACATAAAACAGGAATTTGAAACCTCAAATTTGTTCCCCAGTCATTCACTCTATGATGCAATACTATTTGAAATGATAGGTCAAGTTCTTACAATAGTGAATTTATGAAATTGTAGATCAGCAAATAGCAGGAAACTGTGGGGAGCCATGATACCAATGATTTGTAAGAACATGACATTGAGAAAGAAATTTCTATTTGCATGATTTTCTCTTACCACAATTTCAATTCAGTAGCAAAGGAAGAAGTTTTCCTTTTGGTAAATTGACTGGAATATTTTATTCATTTTTATTATTTAAAAAAAAAATATCTATGGTAAGTTTTTAAAAGAAATCTTGCCAGTGGCTCAGTAATTCTTCAGTATCTGTCCTTGGATTGTTGCAGTAAACAGAATTTCTACTGAAATTAAGAAATTTTATGTTAAGCAAAATCTTTAAAAGGTTGGGAAGAAAAATTTGTTTTTCAGATGGTAAACATTTTGAAGGCACTTACCATTTCAGTTAAATGACTAAACTGTCTTCCTTATAAAATATATTAATATATATATTTATCTATACAAATGTTTATTCTTGACTTATACATTTCATATTTTGCTCCCTCTACTCTTCTTCACTCTTATGTTCAATTTTACTAATAAATCTCTTTCACCCTGAGATACTCTCTTATCTTTCTTTTCTCTCTTTTCCTCTTGCATTTTTTTATTGTCCTGAACAATAGTTAAAATTTTCCAAATATAAGCCTACCCAAAATAGACTAATACACCATCTCAGTAATTGTGTCTTGTTTAGCTTGTCTGCAAAGTCAAAATAGTTTCAATACAATTGACATGATGATTGTCACTTGATCAGTCAAGCGTGATTTCAAATGCTTTTGCTAGTGACCGACTAATCCTACTTTGAACACTCACAGCTCAATCTATTCTGGCTGCATTGAAACACAAGAGAATTCCTGGCAGCTTGCAACAAATTTTTATATGTTGTAAAATTTAATGCATTTTTGTGTTTAATATTTCTCGTTTGGTTTGTGTTCTCTGCAGTGGGCACTTTAACTTGAATAATTATTCTATAATTGGTTGAATATTTATTCTCTAAAACTATGCATGTAATTAGGATTTTTTCTTACCTGTGTTAAATGAAACTATAGCTTTATATATATATATATATATATACCTCACCAGTTTCATGCACAAGACAATCTTCAGGTGCTAAATTTAGACTTTTAATTTACTAGTGTGTCACAAAATTATAACTGAAAACTTTGGATGTGAAAACCAAACAAAAAAAAACATTTCATTGCAGATTGATGATTAACCTAAGAATGTACAAATTTTGTTTGGTATTACATGACAAATTGGTGCCTCATTTTAAATAAAATTGTAGTCAATCAAAAGAAAATACTTAGTATATGAAAGTTGAATAGCAACATGCTCAAAAGTAACTAGGAAAAGGGGTGTAGCAAAAATTTCTGTCATTTGTAATTTAGCTCAGAACTGCAAAAACAGAAATTCCTGACATCCATAACTTAATGGGTTAAAACTTATTAATAGGTTGAGATATAATTTGTTTAAATATTTGTAATTGGTTAACCAAGTTCAAATTCTGGCTCAGGTAGTTAGTATTAACTTTTCTATATTGTTTTTGAAGAAGATACAAATTCATTTCTTATTAAGTCAGCTCAAGTTTGACATTGCTGTTGATACCAGTACAATCTGTTGCATATTATTTGGACAAGAGATGATCAATCCCAAGCAATTTCATTGACCCAAGAAATACTATGAATGACACAACATAATCCCCCAATGATCGATTTGATTGACTACTGTGTAGGAGTTGTACCATAAAAACCTTAAGTCATTTTATTCCAAATAGATGATGTTAAAATGCATTCTCAAAAGTTAGTCATGCTTTTAAGTGTGTATGCAAACTTACAACCAAATAACATTACCTGTGCTGCCAATATTAAATGACACAATCTTAAAATGTAAGAGCAATAAAACAAAATTATTCCAGACTTTTCTGTCTTTTATACAGTGATAAATTATCAAGTATCTTTGCTGTTTCCAAGACAGACCACTTAGAGAATTTAAAATTACTGCAGTCATAAAATATCTTGTCTCTCCAAACAGTAATTACTCAGTGCATCCAACAACAGTAGTCGTCTATGTCTTTAAGCCAAACATTAAACAAAACTCCAATTAAATGTCTGAGAGTTTCAAATCATATGCTGTAAACAGTTATTTTTGTTTTATCATACATAAAAGTAATTAAACAGATCACTAATTCCCTGTATTAAAGCAGTATTAAAATTTCAAACTCACTTTCTCATAAAATTTAAATTGGCATCCATCTGTCTCAGGATATGATGATGGTGTAGCACAGAGCACTACAGGCCTGGACAGGAACTATGGAGATCTTTGGCTGCTCATATGTTAAGACATCTTTCTATATAGGACTATATAGTCCTATATAGAGAGGATATTAACATAAATATTAAACAGATTACATCTTAACTTAATGAGCTGGGAAATTTCAGTTCCTTTTGTATTTATGAGAATATACAACAAATTGAATGAATGTAAATGAAAACCAATATCTTATAGAACAATACAAAATTTTAATCATAACTAAAATTATATTCTTTTTTTTTTTTTTTTTTTTTTTTTGTTCTGACACAGAGTGCAAGCTGATATAAGAACCACTAAACTATATTTGTACTTTATTAGGAATAGGATAATTTGACACCAGAGTGTAAATTACTCATTGCACTTAAGCAGTGAGGCAAGGATCAATCACTAATGCTTGAAGTATCCCTAAAAGAGCTGAAGGAAACAGAAATTTTCTGGTACCACCTGCATGTATATGTAAAGAGCTCAATATTGTAACCTTGTGTCAAACTTACTATTGTGGTAGATGCAGATAACTTATTTCTCCTATTTACTGATGAGGTGTTTCGTCATTATGGTAACATGAGGCATGTCCGTTTATTGGTGTTGAGTGATATCCTTTGTTAAAATAACAATGGGAACTTTCATTACTAAGAAGGGGTGATGAAGTTGCATGACCAATTTAAATATATAAAATTACATTAATTTTTATATTATTAATGAGGAGTTGTTGTTGCTGTTATTATGTCAGTAGCAACAGCAAATATATCAGTATTTAATAAATAAGGCAAAAGGATTAGAGACAAAGTTATGTAATAAGGCAAGCAACCAGAATGACTGAATGTTTGTCAGAAAACATGAGTTTGGGGAAAGGAGATTCACAGGAAACAAGCAAATGTTTGAAAGTTTTTCTTTATTTGACTCTACATTCCTTTGAGCAGCTCACACTCAGACTTTGGATGCAAAATCTTTTCTCCTCTACTGTTGATAAATATTTGTGCATTTCCATCAGAATGCTTTCTTGTTAGAAATAAACCATAATAGGGAATTTGTAATTTAGTTATTTTTAGTCATTAAAAACAACAACCTTGTTTGTTTATTTAGTAAAATATTTTTTTAAGAGAAAGATTAAACTTTCCTCTCTTTTTTTTCTTGTTTTCTCTTCTTTTTTCTCCCCTTTTCTCCCGTTTTTTTTCTCTTTTTCCCGTTTTTTTCTCTCTCTTCCCCCCGTTTTTTTTCTCTCTCTCTTTCCCCGTTTTTTCTCTCTCTTTCCCCCCGTTTTTTTCTCTCTATCTCTTTCCCCCCGTTTTTTTCTCTCTATCTCTTTCCCCCCGTTTTTTTCTCTCTCTCTCTTTCCCCCATTTTTTCTCTCTCTCTGTTTTTTCTCTCCCCATTTTTTTTTTCTCTATCTCTTTCCCCCGTTTTTTCTCTATCTCTTTCTCCCATTTTTTCTCTCTTCCCCCCGTTTTTCTCTCTCTTTTCCCCCGTTTTTTTCTCTCTATCTTTTTCCCCCCTTTTTTCTCTCTATCTCTTTCCCCCATTTTTTTTTCTCTCTCTTTCCCCCCATTTTTTTCTCTCTCTCTCTTTCCCCCATTTTTCTCTCTCTCTTTCCCCCATTTTTTCTCTCTCTCTCCCCCCTGTTTTTTCTCTCTCTCTCTTTCCCCCGTTTTTTCTCTCTATCTCTTTCCCCGTTTTTCTCTCTATCTCTTTCCCCATTTTTTTCTCTATCTCTCTATCTCTTTCCCCCCGTTTTTCTCTCTCTCTTTCCCCCCGTTTTTCTCTCTATCTCTCTTTTTTCTTTCTTTCCCCCGTTTTTTTCTCTCTCTCTCTTTCCCCCATTTTTTTCTCTCTCTCTTTCCCCCCCATTTTCTCTCTATCTCTTTTTTTCTTTTTCTCTCTCTCTCTTTCCCCCATTTTTTCTCTCTCTCTCTTTCCCCCATTTTTCTCTCTCTCTCTTATTTTTTCCCATTTTTTCTCTCTCTCTCCCCCATTTTTTCTATCCCCCCCCGTTTTTCTCTCTCTCTCCCATTTTTTCTCCCTCTTTCCCCCGTTTTTTCTCTCTATCTCTTTCTCCCATTTTTTTTTCTTCTCCCCCCGTTTTTCTCTCTATCTCTTTTTCCCCCGTTTTTTTTCTCTCTCTCTTTCCCCCCATTTTTTTCTCTCTCTCTTTTTCCCCCTTTTTTTCTCTCTCTCTCTTTCCCCCCCGTTTTTTTCTCTCTCTCTTTTATCTCTTTTTCCCCCATTTTTCTCTCTCTTTTCCCCCCCGTTTTTTTTTTTTTTCTCTCTATCTCTTTTCCCCTTTTTTCTCTATCTCTTTTCCCCCGTTTTTTCTCTCTTTCTCTTTTTCCCCGTTTTTTTCTCTCTCTCTTTCCCCCCCCATTTTCTCTCTCTCTTTCCCCCCCCGTTTTTCTCTCTCTCTTTTCCCCCGTTTTTTCTCTCTATCTCTTTCCCCCCCGTTTTCTCTCTATCTCTTTCCCCCTGTTTTTTCTCTCTATCTCTTTCCCCCGTTTTTTCTCCCCCCCCCCGTTTTTTTCTCTATCTCTTTCCCCCCGTTTTTTTCTCTCTCTTTCCCCCGTTTTTCTCTCTCCTCTCCCCCGTTTTTCTTTCCCCCCATTTTTTCCCCCTCTCTTTCCCCCCGTTTTTTTTCTCCCCCCCCGTTTTCTCTCCCCCCTGTTTTCTCCCATCCTCTCCCCGTTTTTTTCCCCCCCGTTTTTTCCTCCCCGTCTCCCCCCCAATTTTCTCTCTTTTTTTTTCCCTCTCTCCTATTTTTTTTTTTTTTTTTTTTATTTTCATTTTCTTTATTCTTTCTTTCCCTTTTTCTTCTTTCTTATCCTGCAGATACCAAATCTGTAAAGAAATATGAAGAAGTACTAAAAAGTGAACATTTCTCAGTCCGAACAGGATGCACTTTTACAATAGAATTCTGATGCTTTGTCATTTGCTTATATTTTGACAAGTCTATTGGTCTAAAACCAGTTTGTCAATTCTCACAAGTCTTTCTCAGTTTTATAACATTTACTGATACTAATAGCTAAACTTGACAATTTGTAAGATAGGCAATAAACTACATCAATAAAAAATTAATATGAAGCAGTTTATTGATGAAAACAAAGCTGCAATATTTTTCTAAAAGGCATATTGATATTAACTGCATACATTGTTGAAAACCCTGATTAATTCTTACTGCAATAGGAAGCCCTATTTTAGTGTCAGATCTCAACTGATTGAACTAATTTAGGTTAGTACTTATTTTTCCTCCTGTAAATTATTGTTGTATAAGAAATATTATATAATACTTCATTCCCTCTTATTCTCTGTTTACATATTTTCATGTGATGTTTCATGACATAAATATTGGTAAATTTACTTTATTTTTTTCTCATATTTTCAGGTAGTTCTCTGAAATGGTTAATATACATGATATAGTAATTCTATTAAAGCATTTTCAGCAAAATTTTTATCAGGAACTGAAATTCAAATGATGAATGTTATTGTTTATCATAACAAAAAGCAAATTTATTTTATAAATTTCTTTTTTCAAATTTTTTATATTCACTTTTTTATTTTATTTCTTATTTGTTTTATTTCAGTCTTACCTTTTAAAGTAATATCTTTTTTCCATTTTGTTTTTTTCCATTTCGTCTTTTTTATTCAAATTTTTAATCAAAAGTCATAACTTGCTTATAAAAGAAACAAGAGAAAGAGATATGTTTTGAAATAGCATTTTTATCTACTTTCAACTTAGAGAAACACTTTTTGTTAAATATTTCTATAATATTAATCCATTGTAACCAAGAAAGTAATTTAACACAACCAAATAATCTTGTTGTTTGAGTAATTTGGCTGCTGGTGATCATATATCTCTTACCTCTTATTTTTTTTTCTTTTTCAAATGTAAGTTGTACCTCTTTACTCAAGCAACCTTGGGAGTCAGCCATTACAGGACCACATAAAATACCACAAAACAAAAATTTAATTATTTTTTTCATTTTGTTACATAATAAATTTCAGCAAATTATTGATTTTTTTTTTAGTGATAATAGTGTGAAAAAAAGAGCAATATATTTTATTGTTATATAACATAATCTATAATAAATTAAAATTGTTTTTATGCTTTTTAATTGATTATATTAAAAATAAATCACTTCAATCTGAACCTCTTTAAGTCAAGGTTCGGTTGTTGTCTATCCACCTTATCCTCATATTCTACACTGCTGTTCCATTCATATCACTCATCTCATTTATCATTACCATTTCAACAGTAACCCTCTGTTATGAGTGACTCATGGGCCTTGTATTTGGTGAAATTTAGTTTTAAAAACATAAGAGTTAAGGAAAAAAATGCATATATAATATTATAGCAAAATAAACATCAAATGGTTTCAAACAAGAGTTAGGTCTTACACATTTGGTTCAACAAATCAGTTTATAAACAACTAAATTATTGTTCCAGTCATGGTTTGAAACTGAATCAAAGAAAACATACCAGACCATGAGTGGTGCCGGACCACAAGTTGCCAAATTAGATAGGTACAACTTATAATTTTAAATGTTTTCTAGAGATATTAAATCTCTTCGTTTTGTATGATTTTTTTTCTTTTCAAAAATCATTATTTCCAAGCTACAATCTAATATGAGGCTTTAAAAACAGATATCAAAAATATATATGCAGAAAAATCTTCATAAGTGCATAAAATACAGAAAAAATAAGTCAACCATCATGTCAATGAACACCTTTTTTCTATTATACTATTTAGTAAAATTTATGCTGAGAAGAGTGTTTTTAAGACGACCTAAATAAAAATAGCAGTTGCCAGGTGATATTTCAAGGCTGCTGTAAGAATTATTTTCTTATGACATTGAAATAATTTGAAATTGCAGTAACTTAAAAAAAATACATTTACAATTTGTTTTTTTGTTAACCCTTTAATAATAGTTATTTACAATGAGAAACAACTGATTAATATCATATACCTAAGTTCCATAATCTAAGTGGAGTGTTTAGGATAAAATAATTTCAATATTATTTTTATACTCAATAAGTTTAAGTTTTAATTGTTTAGAAGAAAATGTGTTTAAAGCCTTCTTGAGGGGTAGGCCTTTTGGAAATAAATGATTTTCTAAATTTATTAACTCTTTCCAGATGAACCAGGACAAAACACAATACAGATATTTTGTTATATTTGTTTTTCATTGAAATTACAACAACCAGATATTCATGGTTAAAATTTTCAGTCCCTTGCATCATCCTACTATACAAGTGTTAACTTGTACAAATCTCTTACAAATTGAATTTATTTTTGAGCTACCTACCTCTATATCCTCCTGAAGTCAGTTTAAACTGACATCTCTTTTCCTTTATATAATTATGAACTATAATTTTGTGTATATATATATATATATATATATATATATATATATATATATATATATATATAATTATGAACTATAATTTTAGAAAGTGAAAATTTCACTGAAATAAATTTGAAAATTTAAAAGTTTCCATTTGAAATGAGGAAAATACAAGCTTTAGGCAAAATAGTCAATATATGTAAGTGAAAAAGGCACCAGTTTAAACTGATGCTGGGGGGGGGACATATGTTAAAACTGGTAAAGTTCAGAAATAAATTCAACCTGAAAAGAATTACTTTTAAATTATATTTTTGTAAAATTTTAACACCTTAATAAAGTTGCATGTTTGTTCTCTCCACAGTTTTTAAAGAATCAATTTACTTGTATAATCAAGAAAAAAGTTGCAAAATGATTAAAATTTTTGTTTTATTTTGTTTAATTATACAAGTCTAATTATTATTTTTATTTTAAAATTTCATTATTTTAGTTTTTCATATCATAATAATACCTTTTTCTCTGCTGCCAATCTTCAGTAATTTTATAAGCATTTTTTTTGCCATGGGAAATTTTATCATTTCAGTGAGTTTTGATCTCTCTAAAAGTAACAAAATGTCTTCATTTAAATTGATTTAGTGGCAAGTACAATTTCTGGTTCTATTTTCTATGGCCTGTTAATCATACAACTTCAGTGACCATCTTAAGAATCCTTCAGTCAAAAGTATAAATCTAAGTAAATGTTTTAAGCAAATCTTTTCCCACAGACTTTTGAAAGAACTGAGTTACATTAACTTTCTTGCAAATGCTTTTCTATAAACTTTAAGAAAAATTTATTCATCGTTGAAGTTTATAATTAACTTTTTGATTATGATTTTTTTTATTTTTGCTGCCTATTGCAATGTTCAAGTTGTTTTACATTCTACAAAACTCAAACAACATTGATGGGGGGGGGGGGCTTCAATGAAATTTAGACTCCTGTCCTGTATCTGTGTTTGAAGCTACTTCTTTATTTCCCAGTCCCTTTTATTGACAGTGATCATAAATTATAAAGCAATCTCAGCATTGTAATAAAAAGCAACATTATTAATAATAACATAAAAAAATATAGTTGAAAATTAATAATGAGCATAATCAATTTAAGAAAATTAATAAATTCAAACAAATTAATATGGTCAAAAAATTTAATTTAAAAATATCTTTTTAGAAATTTATCATTTTAAGGACCATGTGTGTTTGGAAGATTTCCTCTCCTAGACACAAGTACAGAAAAGTTTAAAAACTTGATAGTAAAAGAAAAACTAACTGCTTTGGAAGTTTTATGCAGACTTTCATGTCTGCTAAATATGTGTTGCTTGATTATATATATCTTGACAATTTTGATTTTAAAAATTGAAGCAGTTTTTTTAATAGTTTAAAAATCCCTGATAATAACAACAATGATAGACAAGGTCAGATTTCATTGTACCAGTTGATATTTTCACAATAAAATGTGTATTAAACAGCTGATGTTGGTAAAAATTTATTTATATGATAAAAATACTATGTCAGTTTCAGCTTATGATATCTGATTTTATTAGAAATATTTATGACTTATTTAATAGTGTAAGGTTTTATTATATAACTCAAGTATTGTTCATTATGTAAACTTTTTTTAATCTGTATCATGCCAAACAAGGCAGTAATGCCACTAAAGCACAAGGGTTTACAAGGTGTGGAAGAATTAGAAACAGAAACAATAATGAACATAAAAATGAAAAGAGTAATCAGGGAGACAGTAGATAGCAATTGACATTGCAATTACATTTTTGCAGATTAAAGTTGGTGGGAAAGCATGGAGTCAGAAGGAAGTTCCACAAGCAAGAAGCGCGAGAGAAGAAACTGAATTTACAGCTCCATCTAGCCAACTCAACTGTAAATTGATGTGATCTCAATGCCAGCCTAGTGCTGCATTTAAATTCAAAACTCTAGGTACCGTAGCGAAGAGCTCATCCAAACAATTACCATGAAAGTATTTATAGAAAAGATATAGAGAAGTAATCTTATGACAATGGGAAAGTGACTGAGCCACCAGATCAGGACCAATAATATTGATGATTCCTCTTTGAATCTTATCAAGGAGCTTAAGGTAAATAGCAGGGGTACCAGACTATGTGTCGGCAATATTCTAAGCATGAATGAATGGTAGACTTATAGAGAGGAAAATTTTTTTGCCTGACATGGTAAACCAACTTTCTCAGCAGTTGACCTAGCAATGGATTCAATATAGATTTGTCACTGCATATCAGTAGAAAATGTGAACCTGAGAAGGTGCAACAAGTTCTTTTTCTGAAGGTTAGCATCAGACATGCTGATGGAAGGCAGCAAAGGGTCTCTCAGATGATTAATGGAGAGAATAAATAGATATAAAATATAGTTATTGATATTTATATTTTTAATTTAGGATATTTAAAGATTTTTAGCCCCAAGAAAAACAAAAGATTGTAAAGTTGATTGATAGGAACACAAAGTTGGAAGTTTTGAAAATAATAAAGAGATATAAAAATGAAATTGAAAATATTGGAATGATAATAATAATAATAATAATAATAACTAGCTTTAACAATGCCCCCCAAAAAAAAATATTTCAGAAAAATAAAAAGGGCAATAAGTAAGAAAATTGAAGAAGTTGGTGATGGAAATGTAAACTGATAATATATGCAAAATTAAAGAAAAGCAACCAAACTATTTACCACCTTTATGTAAACATCACAAAGAGAAATGTTCAAATTTGGTGAAGAAGTACATACTGATTTCTCAACAGTAATTTTTAGTGATGAATGTAGAGCTACATTGGATTGACCTGATAACTAGGCTAGAGGTTGGATCCTTCATGGTAATAGTTCTACAACACAATGAAGATGATACTAGTGGGTAACTGAATAAATTGGGGGGGGGGATAATATTGCGCGAGATAAAATTTTAAATTCCTTAAAATTTGACAATGTTGGTGTAAATGCAGAAAATTATAAGATGTTTTTGAGTGGTACTAGTCACAACCAAAAAGCTTTTTCAACAACACAATGCTCCTTGACATTCTGCAATGCTAAATATGACTTATCAAAAAATGTTTCAAAGATACCCAATTAAAAGAATGAATCTGTCTCTCCAGATGTTATTCCAATAGAAAACTTCATTAAAAGAGATATATATGAGAATGAAAAGCAATATTCAAGCAAAGATATCTGGAAAGCAGGAAGAATTACTGCAAGTAATGTTAAAGTCAAACAGTTGAAAAAGGTTAACAAAATCAATGGTTGAAAGATTGATGAAGGTTATAGTATATCAAAGATCCCATATTAATCTGTAGAATAATAAAATTTATAATTTATTCAGGTTTATGGGATATTGTATTAATCAGATATGTTTCTATATATTTTGGATTTATTAAAAAATAAAAATTTGTTTCACTTTGTTTCTTTTCATAATAAAATCTGACAAACCTCAAGACGATTTATTATCAGTATTTTTTTTTATTTTTTTTAGTAAGGATAGATATTATAAGCTGAAACGCCTTTGATATTGTTAGGGATATGATAACTTACTCCCCCTATAAAGGACAATAACTCAAAATACAAATGAGTTACTTCCCTTGTCCGTTAGTTGGAGCAAGCAATTCTAAATTCAACATAGTGACAAGCTAACACACACATGGAATTCATGGTCTGAATCCCAACTAATCCTTGCTGTTCTGAGGCAGTAAATGAATAAAAGATATTTTATTATGTGTTAAAATACATTTGTCTTTTATTTTTGTTCATCCCAACAACCTGGGATATAACAGATATATCGCCTATATCAGTTTCTCTTGGAAAATGCTACCAACATCATTTGCTTAATTAAAATTGTGGAAACATTGAATTGCATAAAATCTGACAGTGTATATGAAGTGTAAGCATTCTCGAAGCAAATTTGTTACTTTCACAACACAAAGAAAAAAATCACTTGTAACGCGTCAGGAAAATAACTCACTCTCCCACAAACGCCGTAGCCAAAAATGCCCGAATTTTCATTCTTTGGCAGATCGCACACAAAACACGAACTTTTTTCCAGGGTACCTGATTATCTCGTTCACTACAGTATATGAATCACTTATTGTGATATTCTATCACCTGATCTATCTGAAATTCTGGAACAAGTTATTTAACAATTAATCAATGATTTCTTTTTTTCCTTTGGTTAATCTATCCTCATTCATCTACACACTACATCCCACTTCAGATAAATGCATACACTACTCTTGAGTAAAATAGTTCTATTTACATTCAAAGTAAGATCCTCATTTTTGTTGTTGTTATCACAATGTTTTCGCCATGGTGCCCTCTAACCTTCTTCAAGTGTTTATCAATCTGTTCTTTAATCCACTAAGCTATTTATCCTTGGTTTTTGGTGACATTTGTGAATTCACTTTCTGGTCCAGGTGACTTTTAGATTTTAGTGGAAACAGAGCAAGCAATAACTGATAAGTATAAAAATAAGATGAAATATCTATAGATATGGACAGTGGAATGAGAACTCTCTACCCCATAGATTAAATAATTCAGTTTGAAATTCCCTGATGTTTACCTGAATCGACAAGCACCTGAAGAAGGCCAGAGGGAACATGGTTGACATATGACATCAACAATAAAAATGACGACATCAATTCAAATATAAATAAACAATAATGGCTTCTTGCCCAAAAATTTTGACACAAATAAAAGGGTTTTATTTCAATTTCCTTGATAGTTAATATGTGGCATATACAATTTAAGAAATACAGAGTGTATACATGGGGAAACCTTGCAACAAAGATGTTAGTCCCCTTTAAAATCAATGAATGTTATTACTCATTAAATTATATTGGCTTTCTGAAATTCACTGCTGATTGACTTTTGATGTTGAATTTTCTTGCAAAATTTGGCTTGAATGTTTGAAGTTATTATAAACATATATATTTTTGAGGGATAGTTTCAGTTGGGGTCCCCCCCCCAAAGAAAACAATGCGATAATAAAATGGTTATGGCACTAATGAAATCTAATCTCATTGTCCCTTCTACTATGGCAGTGAACTAAGCTCTATAGCCTTGATAGAAGTATAACTTTGAATTCAAAACCATGACAATGGGGAAACCATTCCACTACTTTCCTAAAGAATAATCATGTCTGTTCACAGATAATAAAAGAAAAGGAAGCTGTGCAGGACCATGATCACCTGCCCTAAAGAGACATAGGATTTAATAAAAAAAAACCAAAAAAAACAGTTGAAACTATAAATTGAGAAAGGTGTTTTTGGTGACATGTTTTTTTTTTTTTTTTTTTTGGGTTTTTTTTATATATATATATATATATATATATATATATATATATATATTTATTTATTTCTATTTTTATTTTTTTATTATCACCTTTATAATTCAGCAATAATTAAGGGAAAACATTTTCTGTCCCTTAATCTTCCAACTCTCAACTCCTGGCTCATTTTAATGATTCGGCACTGAGATTCCCATTTTGTTTTCAGATTCATTACCAGAAAAAGAGGAACAAATAAGTGGCAGAGATTATGTGCCTGGAGGCAGCACTGGGAAAAGCAGCTATACCACCAACAGTGGTGGTGCTACCGCCAGTAGTACAATTGAGGCTGCAGACAGTCATGCCACCTCCATTCCATACATAGATTTGCAGGTGGTAGAGGATTCTTACTCGTACTCTTCTGCAGTCTCTTCTTCTTCCACCTGTTCTTTCTCCACCTTTTCCCTTTCGGATGACAAGTCTGCAGCATCATCGGCTACCGCTCGCTCGACTATCACTGCCGAGGGGGTGGGCAGTGACGTGCAATCGTCCCCAATCGCCAATGAGATCCCAGTCCCTTTTTCAGATACACTATCAACTTCCACCAATTCTACTACAAAAGTTGGTAAGTTCATAACACACAAAAATATATACACACACAAACACACATGTGCATATAAATACGCATCACTCAGAAATACCTCTCTTGTCTCTATTCATTGTTAGAGATTTGTGATCCAGACTGTACATTCATCATTTGAAGCTGAGGTTCACAGTGTTTTCAACTGCCAAATCTCTACCCTTCATTTGGTTAGTCCAACATGAAGGAACCATATGATAATGGTTGGCGATTTACTTATGTAACTTTGTGATGAGTGTACAGTTTGGATAACAAAAACTTGAGACAATGCCTGAAGTTTCCTCCTCTTTCATCTCCTATGATTTGCATATTTTCATGTCGCACTTGCTAGATAGATTAGATCAAGTTTTAAGAGCTATGGAAAATTTTCATCATCTTCCCTGTTCCATATTTTTTTTTACTTTAAAAACTAGTTTTAGATCTCTGTTATCTCTGAATGTTTTTCATATAGCCAATTTCTAGCATAAGTAAATAAGAATAACTGGAAGACCATCACACTCAGATTTCTAAAGTTACTTGTTACAATAAAAGCTAGAAAGTTTTCTTTTCCAGTTTTAAGAAATCAGAGCTTTGTTTGTTTTTTTGTTTGTTTGTTTTTTGTTTGTTTGTTTGTTTTTTTTTTTTTTTTTTTTTTTTTAAACTAAAACCTGCTTTTATGGATTTAGTACTGTATTAAGTCACTCCTCAGCATGGAAAGTGGAAAACTACAAATTCTAGCCTAGTCTGTGCTTGGTAAAGGCATAATCCCAACCCCCCAGCTATAGGTTAAATAGTAGGATTAAACTGACCTCTTTAACCTTTGGTTGCAATCAGTTTTATAAAAGGATTATTTTGAGCACAAAAATGTGGAGAAGGCAACAGAAAACCACTCCACTAGCCTTCCCAAGAAGTTGTGGCAATTTGCAGATAATAAAGAAAATCATTCTGGATAATCATAATTATCTATGCCTGAAATAAGAATGAAATTTAAAAAAATAATATTTATTAAGTTTATAAAATCAAGTGTGAAGGTGCCTGGTGAAGATCACTTACAACTACTGTAGTGAGGTTGTGACTAAACATATGCCAACTGGTTTCCTGTGCAGAAGAGGAACCCTCTAAAAAAAATGGAACCACATGTCTGCCATTCCTATGTCTACATTTTCAACTCATCTACAAACCAAACCTATCTATTGCTTATCAAAACAACAGAATTCAGCATTAAATAACCTGGAAAAGGTTGATATGCCATCAAACAAACTCCTGTAATGAGTTCTATCATTACTGAGTATCCAATATTTGTAGCCTTATGCCAAACACAAGTTAGTAAATATGGTATCTGACATTCAAGTCTATTTACAATTGCAAAGGTCTTCATAATTTGCTTAATTTCCTGTGTTCCTCATCACTAGCTAGTTGCATGATCTATATAGTCTTGATCTTTTGTAATTATTATAGTGTAACAAAAGTTTTTTTTTTCTTCAGACCTTTTGTTTTTGAAGCTTATAAAATGCCCTCCTTTTAATGAATTAGCTCTTCTGAAAGTTTTCAAGTGCTGATGGTCAAGTACATTATATTTTAAAACATCATAACTAAAAACTGAAGGTCATCTTTTTCTGGGTTTTATTTCAAAGGACAAATCACTACTTTTAATCACTGTTTTATTCAATGCTTTTATGGACAGTAAAGTCTGATGTTTTATTTATTCACAAATTATTTGAGCTGGTTTGGGGCCCAGTTTAAAATAACACTTCAAAAGTGCCAAAATCTCAATACTTATATATGAAATAGGTTTTGGAGTAGAGGTTATGTAAAATATCATTGATCCACTCTAATAATAATAATCTAATGGAGTCAGTCCTTAGATGTGTGCATGAAATAAGCTTTAGAGTAAATGGCTTTCAAAAATGAAAATACTTTTGATACAACCTAATAATAATAATAATCTAGTATAGTCATAAGTCCTTAGATATTTGCATGAGATAATCTTTGCAAAAGATTAAAATAATTTTGATACACAGTAATGACATTTGGAGTTGATTTTTTTTTTTTTTTTTTTTTTTTTTTAAATGAAAATTAGAAAAGATTTTATTGTAACTGGTGACCTCAAAATCTGGGTGATGTTGGTATTTTTTCTTAAAATTCTTGTTTATCAAGTTGATTTTTATAGAAATCAACTTTAAAAATATTTTGACAAATTTTATATGAAATCCTGAATCTTTGAATTAGAAAGAAATCCATGATATTTAATGTTTATGAAAGCCAGCTAGTAGTAATTGTTGTTGTAAATTTTGATATATTTATCAATTTAGTTTAAAAACACTCTTGCAACAAAACTAAGATTGCATGTTTGATTTTTTTTTTTTACCTGCTTTTTATTTTGCCATTTGTTTTGTTTGTTTTTGTTGTTTTCTGTTCATATTGCTTATTTTTGTCTTTCTAGTTTCACATTTTAATAAAATAGTTACATCTCAATGTAGTTGACTGAAGCCATAACCTTGACAAGTCTTTCACAATCTTTTTTATCATTAGCAAACTGAGCATTTCTCTTTACTAAAACCCTCTTTTTTATTTTATTAATCAAAATTTATTAAGCAAAAAGATAAAATTAATCTGAATTTTACCATTTTATCAGTTACAAGCTTTTTCAATTCTTGGTTTTATGGGTGAGATACTGTGTCTCTCAAAAGGATTCCTGAGAATCAGTTTTTGTATTTTGTCTTTAAGTATATACTAATAAAGAATCCAGCCTCACAATGGTTGTAAAAGTTTTTTTACTGTCAAAATTAACTCCAATTTTCTAAATCAATTTTTCAAGTACCATCTTCAAATATTTCAGTCAGATTATTTGATTAGCTGATAACTTTTCACCAAAATTTTTACCAATGCTGCAAGTATTTTTGAACCAATATGTAATTTAGTATTGAATCCCCTGAAAAATAATTCAGCAAGTTGAGTAGAAAGTTTCTGGTTCAGCAAAAATGAATCCTTTCAACATTAAAGCAAATGTATAACAAAATAAATTTTACTGTGGACCAAAATTTAATCAGGATTAATGGCTTCTGAGAAATGTTTACATTTTTGTTTTACACTTTGTGTTTACTCCTTTGTTTTGTCTAATCTGTCCAGATCTCCAATATTAATATGCCATCACAAAATATAGTTTGAAACTGAAAACATTAGAATTCAAGCAAATCATTGTAACAAATGTATTTATTCAGACTATATACACTTCTGTATTATTGTTGTGGATTTGTGGATCAAAATATTTTACACTTTCTTTGCAATTTCTCTAGATGTTATAAAGCTGTGTTTACAGCCATTATGTTTTTTTAAGTTATAATTTAACTATCATGCTGATTATTTTTATTAAATAAATGAAAGCAAAATAGAATTACTTAAAGCCTCCCAAGTTTTAAATATTATATATACTTTTAAATATTATATAATAATATTATATATTATTTAAATATTATTATATTTAAATAAGTACAGATTTGGTGGGCAAATAAGAATCAAAGAAAATAAGATATTTTTCACAACACTAACAAAGAATTTATTTAAGCTTTAGCACTGTAGGCAACTTTTTTTGCTAAGCAAAATGTCCTACCACATCAGGTATGCTTGTGTTATGTCCTATTATGTCAAAAGAAAATAGCCTTGACTAAAATCAGCAATAAGGCTGTTTCAGTCAAGAGTCTTTAAAAGAGTTCAGAAGGAGGGATAAAACTTGAATAATGTAGAGTGCTAATGGTTGATAAATTTTCCAAATAGAAATTCAAAAGATAAAATGTTTGTTTATATTGTCCTATGGATATTACTCATAAAATAGCTGGACATGAACAAGTTAAAGGTGTAATAAAGGTTATGGTGAAACAAAGTAGTCAATATACGAGTGATTATTGCTTATGCTTATATGCATAAGTTACAGCAGTAGTAGGAGAAACTGACCTTGTATGAAATAAGGTTCTGAATGAAATACAGAACTGAAACTCCTGAGCAAGATAAGTTGAAAATAGTTTTGTGAAATCAGGAACAGGATGAAAAGATTGACACAAAATTTAATCTACACAACAATGGAAATGGACACTGTAAAATTTGGGTTAGAATGAAAGGGTTAGAATAAAAAATGGTATTATTACATGTGAAGACAAACAACATGCACTGGTGATTTGGGAATTAAGCTAAATATTTATCTATTTGATAGATTCCAGAAAAAAGGTGATTGGTTAGAAAAGATGAATATCTGAATTTCTAGTCTTCAATAAGTTGTAATCCACTTTTTTGCAAATAATTTTTTTCTTAATTAAAAATAACAAAACAGTTTTCTACACGCATTGTGTGCATTTTAATAATATTCATAACAATCCAAGTTAATTATTTTTTTTAAATTATTAACAAATTAAAAATGATAAGTAGAATTAATTTTATTTTAAAAAGCATAGATTAATTCCTTTTCTGTATCTACATAATAAATGTTTGCAGGTAACCTCTGTCACAAATGCCAGTTTATTACATGGCTGCTTTAATACATTAATTGCCCAATGATGCACATGCATTTTGTGGCATTTGCATATTGCCTCTGATATACACGTGCATCCATTCTACAATTTCTATTTTCTCTTGTCACATGATACTACAGAGAGGGAAAAAAAACACCAAAGCTTGGACCACAGATGCACATTATTATCATTGTATACATTTAAAAAATTAGAATCAAAGTTTTCCTTCTCCTAGACTGGTTGCCAACCAAAGCTATAGGGCTCAGTCAGTCCTGCTATTTACCCATAGCTGGGGGTGATGATGGATTCATATTTTCCCCAAGAATAGATATCAACTTTAATTTAAAATTTAATTTTATTTGCCAAAATAAAACATGAGTAGTCTTGAATAGAAAGTTCTAGTAATCATTAAAAAAACAAAAAACATAAAGAAAGAATTCAATGATAATGGTAGTATTAGCCATTTCTATACAAGGAAACATTTGACATTCATTTCTCTTAAAA